CAACCGGTCTCGACCAAGCCTACTCTCCGATGCAGCCGTTGCTTCCCGGACCTTATTCGGCGGTGCCTCGGCCGTCTGCGTCGTTCGTGCACGCTCTGGGTACTGCACAGTCGCACTCGCCGCACGTGAGTAGTGCAAATACTCCGATCGCGCCTCGCGACACGCCGTCTGCGGGATTCGCCGTCTCGAGTCTGTCGGGAGGCCACATCAATCCGGCGCGACTCGCAATGCTGCAAGCTTCGTTGGACGCAGCAGGCTACTCGAGCAGTTTGCCGAACACCTCTTTGACGGCAGAGGCTCGACCAGATGCTGCAACCGAGAAACACCAGGTGGAGGAAGCGACCCGAGGCGCCTGGTCAAACGTACGCCGGCCGTCGGACGCGGACCACCGACCCGTCGCATCCGGCAGCAGCGTGACCGGAAGCACCCTTCTCAATGTCAAGGGAACGGCGTCTCAAGGAGGACAAACGCCACTTGCTCAAGCCGGCTCTTCGATCGCTGGTAGCGAAATCATGCCGGGAAGGCCAGAAGGCGACGATGCTGTCCCACGCCCGTCCGCGCTTCACGACTCCGCCAACTCTGCCGCGATCAATGGTACCGGCTCGCAAAGGCAGCAGCCGGCGACTCTGAATGGTGCGAACGGGTCAAAGCAGGACGATCCGACTCCGTCATCGGCGGGCGCGCCTGAGAATGGTTCGGCAGACTCGCGTCAGGTCGGTGAAGGCGGCGCCGAGCAATTGTCATGAGTCTCAGAGGAGAGGAACGCCTCAACGGATAGGAGAAGGAGGATTCGAGGTTCGGACGAGAAGGGCCCACCGCTTGCATTTCGCAGTCTGTAGCGCACGCAACCTCGCAGCGCATCAACCTTACAGATACACACGCTTTGAAACGACTCGCTCGGTAGCTTTCGAGCGCAAAGACGGGTAACGATACGGTTTGTACAGTCAGGAAAAAAGAGTCGGAAAGACTACACGCTGCGCACAGGAAGGGAAATATAGAGACAGAAAAAAGCTCACGAAGGACACCCGGCGTTCAGGCACGCCTACTCCTGCCTGACTTGGACGCCGTTCGGCGGACCGTTCGCTCCGATGCGCTGGCCGCCCGAGCCCGAGTTGAGCAACGCCATCAAGTCGGCGCCGGCGTTTCCGCCAAAGTTCATCATGCACGGTGGCGGACCCTGACCGCCACTGGGAGGCGGCAACGGCATACGATTGGGCGCAAAGTGAGGCGGCGGCTGCTGGAACATGTGCGGAGGGGGAGGAGGGCCAGGCGGGAACGGGAACTGTGCCGGTTGGCCTCGCACCTGCGCCGGGCTGCTGCCGACGGGCGGACTGACGAGTGGCGGAGACAGCGGGCCTCCAAAATTGCGCGGCGGCATTCCGTTCGCGCCGGTGAACGGAGGAGGAGGCGGACCGAAGCCGAGATTCGGCGGGAGCGGGACCGGTCGACCGTCGGGACCGAACGCGAAGGGAGGCGGCATGTTCGGCGGAAGCTGGTTCGGACCAGGCAGCGGCATCTGATGCGCAAGGAAGCGCCCGTCCGGTCCCACCGGGGGCGGTCCGTGAGCGAACGGCGGCGGCGGCGATTGGCCGAAGTAAGGCGGTTGCGCTGGCGGCTTGCCCAGCGGCCCTGCTTGCTGCGGAAGACCAGGAGGAGGCGAGAAGGTCCCAGGCGGAGGCGGCATGGCCGATGAAGGAGGCGACATAGTCGGACCTTGCTCTGAGCGAGCCGCGCGAGGCGACGGCAACGAGCCGGCCGCCGAGGCTTCCGTCGGAGCGCGCGAACGCATCGGCGAAGCGAGACCGGGCGGTGGCGGTTGGCTCGTCGTCGCAGCGGGCGGCGGGAGAGGCGATGCCGCCGCGAAGGGCGATTGCAGGTTCAAAGGGACGGGTTGCTGAGGCGCACCAGACGACGGCGCGTCCTTCTGGTTGTGCGAGAACGCAAACCGACTCCTCGAGCGACCGCCTGCGCCACCGCCGCTGCCTTCTTCTGGTCGTTGCTGCTGCTGCTGCTGTGGCTGGCTCGCAGACTGTGCCTGCGGCGAAAGCGCGCGCATGAGGTCGGCGGCGGATTGCTGTTGGGGACGTGGCGGAGGCGACATGGTCTGCAACGGCGCAGCGCCTTTCGGTGCTTCGTTGACCACGTTCGGCGAACTCGCGCGCTGCCCCGATACCTGGAGCATGCCGAGCAGGCGTGCCATACTGTCCGAATCCTCCTTGCTCGGCGGCGGTCCACTCGCCGACGTGGGTGCCGCGGCGCCGCCGCCGCCCATGAGCGAGCCAAACACGCTCGCGTTCGAAGTCGACGCAGCACCGGGGGCCGGATCGCTCGCGGCGAGCGGGACGGGCTTGCCGTCAAAGAACTTGGCGAACCGGGACGAGCGTCCGCCACCGCCGCCGCCGCCACCTCCTCCTCGTCCGACTTGCTCGCCACCGTCATCGCCGCCGCCCACTTCCCGTGCAGCCGGCGACGGCGACCCGAGTCCAGGCGGAGCGCGCGAGATCCCGAGGTCCTCAAAGATCGACTTGCTCGGCGTCGGAGCAGCCGACGGCTCGTCCGCTTCGACGGGCAAACCCCTCGCGCGCAAATCGCGGTCGCGGTCGCGCCGTTCGCGTTCCTTCATCTGCGCCTTGAACGCCTGCATCGCGTCCATCCCGCCGCCGCCGCCATTCGCTGCCGCTGCAGCTCCCGGGTTGTACGTTTCCAGTTCGCGCGCCGTCGATGACGACGACGCTCCACCGGTAACGGCCCGTTTGTCCCTCCGCCGCCGGTCGTCCTCTGGCGAGGAAGATTCGCGAGCGTTCCCTTCTGCGTCAAACGACATCTTGCCCGTCGCGGGCGCGTCCATCCAGGCGGGCGAAGATCCGCTCGTCCCGTGACCGCCGGCAGGCGATGTGGCCGAGTCTTCGTCCATCCAAGCCGGACGACCGTTCGTGCGCGCTCCGAAGCCCGCTCCTTCGCGACGGGACGCCGAAGAAGGCGAATCGGTTCCTCCGCCAGGTCCGTTGTTCCGCCCGAGTCGCCTTTCTCGTTCTGTTCCCGGGCGCGGGAGTCTTGTCAGTTCGAGGCAGGGCGAGAGACTTTGTGCTAGTCGAACGATGCAAGGCAAAGACTCGCTCACCTTCCCTGGTCGTGCCAACGTTCCTCCACCCTCCTTCGTCTGCCGGCCCAAGTCCGCGCCGCGCGTCTCGTCTCGAAGTCGACTCGAGCGCGTCGGCGCCGAGCCCTCCCGTGCCGTTGGCCGTCCTGCTGCGGCGGTTGTTCGGTTCGAGCTCCCCGCCGCCGCCACCGGCGCCACTCCTCCTCTGGAGTCCGTCTTCGCCTCGCGTTCTCGCAAAGCGGTCGCCACCTTGGGATGACGTCCCCTGAGAGAGGCCGTTCCGTTGCTCGCGGCCGACCAAGTGCGGCGCCGCATCCTTGTCGATCTCGGCCCCCGCTCCTCCTCCTCCAACAAGCCCTCCTTTCGCAGCGCGCCGGTTGTTCCTCCCGCCCGCTCCCGGACTCTCGAGGAGGTCTCCTCCACTGCCTCCCAACCCGCCATCGACGCCGAACCGACCAAAGTTGGCAAACGGGGACGAGTCGGCGGCGTGTTGGAGTCGGCGCGAGTTTCGGTCCAAAGTCGAACGGTCGCCTTGACCTGGTCGGATCGAACTCCGTGACTGGGGTGGTGATGGCGGTGGCAGGACCTCGCTGTGGGTGTGGTTGCCCGGTTCGGTCGGTCGAGGTGCGAAAGTCAGCCAACATTGCGCCGCTCGAGGCAACTGCGACTCTCGAGTCGGCTCTCACCCGTGCCATTCCGAGAGTTCCTTCATCCCATCGAGTTTGTTGGGGACGAGTGGACTGGTGTAGAGCGCGAGGAGTTGAGCTCGCGAGTAGACGGCAGACGGTCGCTCGCTCGACACGATGGCCGGGTCCAGCGCTACCAGGGGGGTGCGCGCGCGTGCTCGGTCAGCGGTCATTAGAATTGCATGAGCGCGGGTACGTCACTTACGTGGTGCTGACGCCATGGCGCGAGGCTTTTCGGCGAAACAGTTGATCGCGCAAGTCGCTCTGAACAGAGTCGTACACAAGCCGAGAGGCGGCGCTTTGCCGTCGGGTCTTCACACGTGAGCAAGCGAAGCGAGCTATAAGAGCGTGAAGCCCGTTCAAGTGTGTGTACAAAAGAGGGCGGGCGAGTCCTTCGAGAGCGCGCTGCCCCGCTTCTGCTGAACTCGGTCAATCGACTCTGCCTCTGTCCCAGCTCGTTTCCCTCCTGCACTCCCACTTTCTCGAGGAGGGTGCGCTACCTATCAGTCGCTGCTCTGAAGCAAAAACTAGCAGCGCCCTTGGAAGACTCGACTCGGACTAGTCGCGTCCTCCGGGCGGGCCACTTGCTCCCGCAGCCTCGCTAGAGTCACGCTGCCACAGAGCCGCTTGCACCTCGCTCTGTCCTAGAGCCTCTCTGCCGCAGCTGTTGCCACCGAGATCTGTTCCGGTCACGTCTCCGAATTGGCTCCTCCGCCCTGCCGCTACTTGCCTCATACACGAGGACCACAGGCTCCCGCCTCCTTTCGCAGCCTACACTTGCGTCGCTCGCAGCTCCCAGTCTGAATCTACCTTTGCGGGCAGAGCCCTCTTAAGACTGGACCCGCTGAGGGAGCCTGTTGGTCGAGCCCGCTTTCTGACTCCAAACCGTCAACTCTGCCCTGCTTTCACCCCGAATACCCACTCGCGCTCCTGGATCCGTGAGCTCTCGAACTGCTCCTCATGCACGATCGCAGCGTAAGTCGGAACCGCCGGCAAGTTGAGGAGCAACTCGCAGGAGAGGGCTTGCCAGCCAGCCAGCGAGCTGCTCGGAAATCGACCGCGCGCGTCTCTCCGATCCGCCGGTCTGACCGCACTGCATTTTGGCCGCACTGCAACCTCCAGCGTTCTGTTCTCCAGCTCACAGCGGACCCGGCAGTGCACCGGGGGGAACGCAGGCAGCCGAACCAAGCCAAAAAGAGAACCCCGACGACGGCAAAAGGATCTTGGAGGACCAGGGAGTCGAACCCTGCACCTCTCGCATGCTAAGCGAGCGCTCTGCCGATGAGCTAGACCCCCCAATTGTGACGGCCCCACTCAGTTTGCCATACTGTTCCCGCAAACAACCTCGGAGCGAAACGAGCCACTTCTCTCCGCCGGATCATAATGCAAATGCGTGCCGTAGGCTCACAGAGAGCTATACAAAAGAGCAGGACACAGCAGTACTATCGGAGTGGCCACCGAGAAACATCTCGCGCAAGGACAGAGCCCCTGCTCAGCTTGAGCTCAAGCCTCACCTCAGTACGGTTTGCCACCATCTCGGACGCTCGCACGGCACGGGAGCGCAGAGGCAAAGCATGGAGAGGCAATTGAACGCGATTCACACCCCACCGAGAGAGTCGTAGCCCTATAGGACATGAGGTACAGCATGGAACGAGGGACCTTCCTAACCGTGGCGCGCGGTGAATCACCACGCCCATCGCTAAGCCGCCGTCAGGGGAAAGCTCTGGGCTGCAGCTAATGCAGGTCGGAAGCAGCTGCGCAGAGAGGTCACCGTGACCGGGGCGGCGAAGCCTCGCTGCGCTCGGGCTCGCTCCGCTCGCGAGCTTGCCCGGCCTCACCTCACCGACCCTGCTCGCTACGCTCGCACGGAACAAGGGAACGGCCGGTCAGCTGCATCTAGACATCAACTCAGGCCCCCGGTGTCCGAGAGAAGCAGCAAAGCCTCGCTGCGCTCGGGCTCGCTCCGCTCGCGAGATCGCACGGCCAGCCAGGACTGCCCCGCTCGCTCCGCTCGCGCATCATGCAGAAACGAAAATCAGGCTGCCTTGGATGAGACGGAGTTTGCGTCGGGACAAGCTTTCGGGAAGGAGAGTAAGACCGGAAGGGCCGGGAATAACTTGCCGTGATCAACTCGCGCTACTGTATTACCGAGAAGCGGGGTACCCTTACAGCAGAAAGCCTCCTATACCTACGTTTCCCACCAGATCTCCCGCCGAAAGTCCTCCTCCCTCGTGGCGCGCGTCCACTTGATCCAGGGTCGAGCACGAGCGGTGTACAGGCCGAATGATGCGTCTTTGAAGTTCTGCGATGCCCGGTACTCTAGGTGCAAAACGCTCGTGCCTCGGAGACGGTGCAGGATGGCGAAGAGGACGGGGAAATCGGTGGCGAGGTCGCTCTTCGCATCCATAGCAGCAATGGCAGCGATCGTATCCTCAACCGACATGGAAGCCTCGACAACCACGTCAATGAGCTCGACAAAGACGAGATCCGGCGAGAGATCGATAAAGTCGAGGATGGCGCGGCGATTCACCTGCACGCATGCGCGGTGAGCAATAGAAGCTAATTCTTCTCTCCAGCGGAGAGCTCACCTTGATGAATATGTCGAGCGGCTGTATCAGCTCGAAGCGAACGAGTGTCGACCAGCTGAAGTGAGGCAGGCAGGACAGTAGACTTTCGGGAGCCGAGTATTCGAGGCGTAGAGCTTCCAGAGGAGCGCTTCGGAGAACGCTGAAAACGTCGCCCGGAGAGACACGCTCGAGTACGCCAGGGAAGAACAAGCTGAATCGCCGGATCTTGCATGCGGTGTCGTTGGTCTGCTTGCTCTTCAAGACGACGTCAGCTCAAGATGCTCGGCTAATGCCTCCATGCCAGCCGTGCCAGGTATGCCGACAGACTCGCCTGCAATTTGAGGCACCGTATTGCGGCAATCAGATCTGAGAAGGTGGCGTCGCGAGGAAAGTGGAAGCAGAAATCGACAAGAGTGGACCAAGGCAGGGGGTTGACCAGATGGCCGGTCCACTCGAGGTGAAGAGACGTGATGCCCGCCCGCACAAGGCTCAGGCTGAGCGCGGAAGTATAGCGGTGGGAGTATATAAAAGCCCGCCGAAGCGGCGCCTTGAACTGGTCCCACTCTTTCCCGACCGAGACGCCTTCAGCGAGCCAGATGCCCTTGAGCTGCGGCAGCAGCGCGCATAAGCGGACGACATCCGTACCAGCGACGACCGAAGCGCCCTTCTTGTGGGATATGACGAGCTCCTCCAGATTTTCGAGTTGCGCCAGCATGGCGCACCGGGCCCGATCCTCCCGATCCGATCCGGAGAGGTTGAGGATAGCTTCGCGAGTAGCCTGGCGGAAGGGGCGCGGGAGGAAGAGGAGCTCTGCCAGCGGGTCGGCGCTATCGTCACGGTCGACCACGACTTGCCAACGCAGCGGGCCCCAAAGGCGGCGGAGTCGACGACAGGTCCAGGTCGGTCCGGATGACGGCATAACGTCGAGCTCCTCCAGAAGTCGCCAGTAGATGCGGCGCCCGATGTGCATGAGAAGCTCGTCAGGCAGGTCGAGCAACGTCCTTGGCGGGCGCGCGGCCGAATCGGACGAGCCTGGTAGAGACGTCAGCTTTTTCACCGATTTGCAGCGGCAGTCGAGCCTGACGCTCACCCGCGATTGCTGTCATGTTCAAGTTGGTGCTGCCGCTGTCCATGCTGAGCGCCGAGAGCCTCTGTGCAGGAGATCCGTCTGCGGTCGATTAGGCGAAGCGTCTCGGTTCACGGTGACGGACACCTCGGCAAGAGTCTCTATCGGAAAGGTCTATGAGCACGCGCCCCAAAGCCACCTTGAGTACGCCGGCTCACCGGGCTAGATGGCCCCTCGAGCAGAAGAGCTGGCGTTCTCCGAGACAACTACGGCGAAGGGAACAAGCGGGTGCAAAACGGGGAGGCAGCGTGTCGGAGCGAACGCAGCGCGGGCAGTAGCGAGGACTTGCTCGTAAGCTCCAAGTCAGCCTGTAGGCCAAAGCAGGAGGTTGGACCGGGGAGAGAGCAAGGCGCAGAGGTAGGGAGGTGCTCGGTAATCCGATAATAGACCACAAGTCTAATTGAAGATTACCCAGACGGAGGGAAGGAGACAGAACGCGTTTCAAGGAGTCGCAAGCTATAGACACCACATGAACCGCCGGCTGGACCACGCCACCAGATCCCGAGCAGCTTGCGCAAGTCGACCTCGACCTGGACCGGCTCGTCGAGCGTAGAGCCCCCGTCGACTTCTTCCTCGTCTGCCCCGACGACGCGCTTGCGGCCTCTCAGGTCGAGCTTGCGCGACTTGACGGCACTCGCGACTTGACCTTGATGACCTTCGAGCCCGTCGTGCCTTCGTTTGCGACTTGCCGCGGCGTCGACGTCGCCACTTTGACGGTCGCGGGTCGAGCGGCGAGTCCTCATGTACTCGTTCTCGGCCTCTTCGCGGATGGCGTAAAGCATCCCGTCGGTATACGACTCGGCTTGCAGGGCGCCGCGCGAGACGGCGCGTTGGACGGCGGCGTCTTGGTGCAAGCGGAGAGCGCGGCGGTCCGCGGCGGACAAGTCGGGCTGACGCGCCTCTTCCGGCGACTTGGAGTTGCGCCGGCGGCCTCCGCTCGATCCGGTGGACGTACTGGGAGTATCGGCGCGTAGCGAGCTCAAGCTCGAGCTGGAAGCGCGCCGACTGCGCGAGTGCGAGGCGAGGGAAAGAGGTTCGGACGATGTGGGGGAATCGTCTCGGCTATACGCGGTAGTCGCAGGGCTCGCGGCGCTGTAGCTGCTCCAGGGACGCGAATTCCACGTGTCGGTCGCCTGCAGGCGATCCCTGAAACTCGGCAGCGGTCCGAGAGCGCGAGGTTGCTCGCTCGAGAGGAATGTCAACCCGATCGTCCCGCTCGAGAGGGCTGCAGGCGGGGCGGAGCGAGCGCGTGGGGTTTTGCTAGGCTTCCGAGCATCCATGATAGCTGAGTGGCGAGTTATCCGCGCGTGTTGTAGAGCGCTTGCAGGTTGAGCGAGGGACTTTGTTGACATCTCCGCATGTCGCTTTCACGTGCAAAGCATCCGCAGCAGATTGGAAAAGCGAAGCGTGCATGGACAAGCGTAGAAAAGCACTACAGGCATGACCTCAGATCATCAAGCGCGCCCGTCACCTTAGCGCACGTCCCTCTCACTTCGCTCGCCTCCGCCCAAGCTGCCAGGTCGGTGCAGGCCCCAGATCAGGTCGATTTGTCGCCGTCCTCTTGTTCTTCATCCTCGTCAGGGTCCTGCTCGTCGTCGTCGTCAGAGTGCTCGCCGCGGCCGGCATGGCGTCCCTCGCCGGCGTCGGAGAGAGACTGCTCGTCGGACTCGCGGCTCGAGCCCTCAGAAGGGTCATCTTCAGCCAGCGGATCATCGCTCGGCCCGTCCCGCATGTAGGCGATGATGGCGGGCATCTCGAGCTCTTTGCCCTTGCGCTTCGCGGTGTCTACAGAGGCCTTGACATGATTGAGCTGTTGACAAGAAACGGGGTCAGCGCACCGGGAGCTTGCACGCGGATCTCGTACACTTACCAAGTCTCGCCACTGCCAGTGAGTCCGTCTCCCAGCGAGCGGGGTCTCCCATTCCCACAGTCGGACACGCTTTTGAAACTTGTCGAGATCGGCCGATGTTGCGACAGCCGGATCGAGGCGGGCGACTTCGAGGATAGCCGAAACGGCGTAAGACACCTCGACAGATGCTGCGAGGCGGACGGGAGCGCAAGCACTGCTTTGCGAGCGCTTCTTGTCGAGGCAGTCGACAGAGGCGTGCGCGAGATGCTGATGCTGCAGTACGTCTTGCAGTGATCCGACCAGTCGACCGTGGCCTTCCTGGCACTTTCGCCACTCGAGGATGCGCACCGCCTCACGGCAGTTGTCGAAGCCGCAAGACAGGAAGGAGGAGGCGAGCCTAGAGGAGGCCACACGCTCTGCCGAGCCGCCCATTTCGAAATCAGGCTCAGGCAGCATGGGGTCGGAGTCCGAGTCTGTCGCCGGGTGCGCAGTCACGGCGTGGGCGGCTGCGACAAGTTCAAGCCGCCATCCTTCGAGCTCTTCGATGACGAGATCAAGAGAGGCGCGCCAGTCGGCGTCTGTCGCACGATCCTTGCGCTCCCAGTGCGGTCGAACCGATTCGAAGAGGAGAAAGTCGGTGAAGACAGGCATGAACAGCTTCGACCTTGCTGGCTGAGCCTCGAGGAGCTTGACGTAACGCGGCTGCAACGCCTTCTGTCGCTCTTGGACCGCTTCAAGGGCTTTCGCGTCGGCG